GGCCTACCTTCGCGCCCCCCCGGCGGGCCCGCCATGCGGGAGCAAGCAGCTGTTTGGGCCCCACACGCCCCATACAGCACCCCAGTCCTGCATGGGGAACGCAGACCCCAAACAGCCGCTTGCTTTCGCGCAGTGGCCCTGCTGAGCGCCGCAGAAGTCAGCCGAGCGCCACGGCAGGAGGGAACAGCGCCCCCCAGAGGGGACAGCCAGCGTTCCAGTCGCAGACATTGGGCTACTCTCGATATGGTGAAGTCTCCAACGTAGGCTGTAAGTGGAGATGGGTAACAGCAGAGAGCACAGCCAGTTACTAACCCAACCCAACCTGGCAAAGCTCAAGCCGCTCAGACGCTGGTTCCATGGACTCCCCCTGCCAATATCCCAGCCTGAACGGCCTCCCCATCTGGCCTTGAGCCTTCCCCCGTTTAGCCCTAGACGGTTCCCGCTGTCGTCTGGTGTGGCCCGCGGGGGGGTGTCCTGACGTCTGGCCGCCGCCCCTCTTGTTTGGCCTCCCACCTTGGCGTCGATTTTGCTCACGGCGGGAATCCTTGGGTTCAGTTTAAACGTTTCCTCCCTCCCAGTGGGGAAGTGCTGTGTCCAAGATGGGTCCCTGCATCAGCAGACCTAACCCCAGGTCCTTTTGGGGGGCTCTCGGCCATGGGGAAACACGAGCAGGGGGCTGGACTTGACGACCTTCTGAGGTCTCTTCCAGCTCTCTGGTTCTGTGATTTACTGGCCGGGCAGGCCGAGATGAGCAACGTGGGTTTACACTTCCTATTCCTAGCCCATCGCAGGCCGGCGCGTGCACCCCAATGGGGACAGCCTAGGCGGGAGATTACAACTTTCCAGATGACACTGGACTCAAAGTATTTTGCATAAGGCATTTCCCAGTGATGCATATTCATGAGCACGTTTCCCTAATGCATAGAGCTAGCTCCATGACAGGCATCTTCTCCGATGCCCAGCCTGCGTGCGGGGGGAAGAGACATGCGGGACACAAACCTCACTCAGTCACCCACCGTCCCTCGGGCGGCCCGGAGAAGTGGGGCGAAGGGCCGGGGGCCGCGCGGGGGCTGCTGCTCCCCCTTC